TATGTCGCCTCCTTTCCCCATCCAAGCCTGACCATGGCAACGGCGCCCTCTCATGTGTCCCGCGGTGAGGTTTGGGGAGGCGCGACCACAATCCAGTAGGGATCTCACCGCGGACCCGTCCGCTGGGATGGGTGTTGCCTCCGTTGCGAATGGGATCGAAGGGAGGGACTACTTCGTCGTCAAGGTCGGCGAGGCAGCGGCCGATTGGGAGCCCGATTGTGAACATGGGAGTTCGTCCCCATGGAGGCGGCGGCCGTGGAGATTGGATGTGAAGCAACCCCACTTGCCGGTGGTGGAGGCTTGCCGGCCATGTGATCCTTTCTTCTCCCGGTATCCCCATTCCTTGCCTCCCATTACAAAAGCGAGCATAAATGAGAGCAGGGGCTGATTTTCATCACTTCATTTCTCATATTTTTAGTTGCTTTTTTGAGATTATACAAGATGCTCCCGATCTGTTTTGTCAAATTACTTGGATCGTCTTATGGAATTGACAACCATCGCATTTTTCACCTCATGTTATTTCTTAATCCTTATCCCACTAGGCATCCACTACATGTTTGGTAATGACGTGATGTTGAGGCGGCTAGGAGAAGCTCAGCAACCAGATCAAGGGCTATCGAGATGGATCTGGGAGCCAAGCAATAGTTCTTCTGTTAAATTTTGGTTATTATCTTTTCTATTGTTACGATTGTGGGATGGTTGATTTTGACTCGGTGTAACATTTGCATTTGTTTCCCCAGCTTGTTGGCGTAGATGCGTGGCATTGCGGCAACTAATCAAGAGCGAGGGCAGTGCACATCAGAGCTACGCTGAATGTAGCGAGCCAACCACGAATTGGGTATGTTCACACGAGGGATGGGAGAGGAGAGGAACATTAACATTTTTCATGATTTGGATGAAAATTTCAGTTCATAGTTTCTCCGTACGTGGCAACACACTAACGGTACTCATGGGCTTAGGATGAAAGTAGCGCCAGCAGAATCAGTAGGTTGGATGGGAAGGCGGTTGTTGCCCTTGTCCCTTGGTGCTAGCCTACCGTGGTGGCCTCACTAACTTGCTCATTGCGAATACGAGTTCGTGGGGTCGCGAGTTGCTGCAGATTTGTTTTTATCACTTTTTACAATATTTATTGATGTATCCCTAACTCATCGAGTCATTTTAGCTTTGATTTCCCATATACGCCAGCCTAAATATCCCATGGTCAGAATATTTGCATGGTTAGTGGACATTGTCCCTTTCTTTCTAATATTTAATATTTTATATTGCCGATAATTTTATCCGCTTGATTTAGGAAGTGCACATAGGTAGGTCAACATATTTTGTAGCTCTTTCGGATGTAAAAGCATATGTTGCATAAGAAATTATTATCTTCCAAGCATACTCACATTTCACTAACAAATAGGGGGAGGTTCAGACTTCAGAGCAATGATAAAAAGGTTTATTCCTCACTCTTTTGTTGGAATTTTAGTTTCAAGTTAACATGATTTCTTATCCGCTTCATAAGTCATGCATCTGCTTAATTAGGTGATAAGTAGGGCTATTGTGGGGTTTGTTTAAACTCCAGCATAAGGAATTCTTGTTTAAGAAAAAAGACTTTTGGCTTCTTTAATTACAAATTGATTGCAACATCGTGTTAGTATGTGATTTCTCACATCTGGTTGTAATATTTGTGAAGACATGCATTGCACGTGCACTTGGAAGCGGGCCCATGGCCCGCGCCGGACGGCGCCGACGCTGACCCGGGCCACCTCCTTCACGTATTCTTGGAGCTTTGGCTGGCCGATTTACATGAAATTAATTTCCTCAGTTCTGGTGGCAAATATAATACACATAATCCATATTGTTATGCACTAGCGTGTGTGTGTGAAATAGATGGATTATGGTCCCGTACCCAATAAGATGGATATGTGTGTGTATTAGAGAGAGGGAGAGGGGGAGAGAGAGTGAGGAAGAGGGAGGGAGTGTGTGTGTGTGAGGATTTGATGATAAAAAAGGTCGCCAATGTTGTAATATTGAACTCTTTAAGTTAACGTGGCCCCGTTGCAACGCACGGGCGTTCTTCTAGTAGGGGTAGTAGATGAAAAAAGAAAGAAAGAGCGTGGTACCGTTGTGCGGTCGCACACCTGTTCATTTTTTTTGGCGGAAACTATACACTTGTGCACTTGTACAGTTGTATACCAAAACGACGGGGCACACGCCGCACCAACCTTGTGCAGCTCTGACCGGACTTGAATGAGAAACCAAAAAAATCGGGTGGAACGGTCCAGAAGCACGTACTCCTACCTGTAGCTGCTCACGGGTTATTTCGAAGAGAGAAGCAACGTTCACCTGCCGCATCGCACGCACGAAATCCAGACGGTCTGGCCCGCGCTGCTGCGTCCGCGCGCCGTCCAGTCCGGTCCATGCATGCGCACAAACAGAAACAGGCACGCCGCGCCACCCGCAGCTGCGCAGCAGCAGCTCTCGCGGAAAGAAACAGCCGCGAACGAGCGAACGAACGAACGAAAGCGACTTTTCTCTTCTTTCTTGCCCCCAAAGAAAAGAAAAGATCCCTTCAAAAAAAAGAAAAAAAAAAGAAAAGAAAAAAGCCCCGCCGCTACCCAGTCGCGCTCGTCGACCCTGCAAGGAACGAAAAGTCACGGCCACTCTCGGGGTAACCGAGAAACGAGGCGGGGATCGTGCGAAAACCGGAAGCCGCCCCCGCGGTTTTGGATCCGTTACCACGGGATTTTCCATCCATCCCATCCTTGGGTCGGGTCGGCGGCGCCCATGGGAAAGGAACACACGGAATGCAATTAAACCCGTCCTGATCCAAAACCACGGCCCCTCGACCACGGCTGCGCAGGCCAGGATTAATTTCTTCCCGGGCACTATAAAACGTCCCCCCTCCTGCAACCTGCGATCCACACCTCACCACATTCCCGTCCCCGTCATCCATCTGTCACACAAGCCATTCCATTGTTCGTTCCCCCGTTCGTCGAGCTCGTGGTGTTCCTGCTGCAAAGGTAATGTGCCTTGGTTATCTCCACGGTTTTATCTGCTCGGTGCAATGCCGGCCGTTAGAGTTTGTATTGTAAGCTGTTCGGTTTGGTTCGGGGTGTCATTTTAATTATAATTATCCAAGCAAAAGACACTTTCGCCTTGGCATCTTGTTTGTTTTTTCCTAGCAAACGAAAGAGATGCGATGCGATGCCCTCCGCTCTTCTTGTTCGGAACGTAGGGCTGTCCCGGCGCCGTCGACGCGACCTCGCTGTCCGGACGGGCATTACGATCCCGTTTCTCCTCTCGCAAGAACAAGAACCGCTGCTTTTTCTGCTACAGAAAAGATTATTCCTGCCAGCTTTTGGTTATGCTCCGTCGTTTGTGATGCCATAGAGAAAATCTTCTTGCTTAACAGCACCAAAGAATTGCCAGCCACTTGGCAACCTCCTTGGTGTTTCCCCATCGTTTCGGCACATGCCCTTTACGCTCTCTCTCCCCCTCCCTCGGATGCCCGTTGGCCTCTGGAGTGCAGACCAAGCTTCTAGATTGTGGATTTGTGTTGTTGCGGCAGGGCCCCACTCGTTAGTGCTGGCTCAAGAAATCACCTTGCTTTTTTTGCTTTTCTTCTACGACAATCTCATTGCGTGTGCCGGTGAGTGCGAGCTACAGTACATTAGGCGCGTCGCCGTCAAATCCCCAAACTTTTCCCCTGTTCCCCACCTAATCCATCCAATTTGATATTTGCATCGGTTGAAAATCAGAACCCATCCACTGCACCCGTCCAAATCGATCGACCTGCAGTTTATGCTCTCTCCAGAAAAAAAGCTTGGCACTTTAGGGAAAAGCAGCCAGTAGACGGCACAGCATATGCTAGTTATATCCTTGCGTAGTTAGTGACACCATTAGACAGGTGCTGCTGGTAATATTTTTAAATTTGGCAGAAGAATAATTCGGTTCGGTGTTATCCATTATGTCATGTCAGCTTGAGAGTTGAGGCGGGCCTACCAACACCAATAGTCCAATGCCACCACCTGTCCCTCCAATGCTCTCACCACTACCACTGGGGGTTTGGGTTTGGGTTTTGCCTATTTATTTGTCCTCCTGGATCTTGGAGAAAACCTCCTCCGTTTGGCCTCTCTCCCCTGCTCCCCTGCACCCCCACTGGGTACGTATGCCTCTGCCTCTGCCTCTGGTGTCAGCATAGTTCTTTCCACCCCCCCGTGCGCTCATCTTGCTTGGATTCGTAGCTAATCTGGCCGGAAATCTTGCTTCTTTGCGGCTCCGGTAGTCAATCGTCTTGATCGCCAGTAGTTTCTTGCTGCGCTAGTTTTCCTCGGGGGTTTCTTGCACTTCTTGCGGTTCGTGTTTGGTGGGGCGTCACCTCAATCCCGCGCGGCTTCTTGCTGACGCGTTTTTCGGCTTCTCTGCTCCGAATCCCTCCTAGATTCCCCGCCTGGTTAATGAGCGGACTCCTCCTCTTCTTTTCCCCAAATTTTTACCCTGGGCCAGTTAGAAATTTTTAGTCAGAGCTCTCTTAAGGAGATTCTTGGTCAAGTACAAGTTTTTGGTTAGCCTGGGATCTTGCCTGAGAAATGTGTATGGGGTTTTTTTGCTGCCGTTTTTGCGGCCTTAATGGCATCAATGATCTGGAAGAAATCAGTAAACGCGCTTGCTCAAGTTTGCCCCCTTTTTTCTCTGTAGAAACATCTTCAGAGAACGACTGGTTTGGTGTGGAATCGGTGCTTGATTGAGTTAGGTGCAAGATTAATGCTCGCTTCCTTTCCGTTACTTTGATCTCTTCGATCTGCGAGATTTTACTAGTGTTGGCAAATGTTTCACCTCTGATTTAGTCTTGATTTCAAGTAGGAGTAGTATTTTTTTTCGTGCTGCAGTAATATGACTAGTGTTGATATCCTAGTGGCTGTTGACTTTGGTTCTTGGCAAGTACAGTAAATGTTTTGATTCTCCAAGGCTGAATGCTGATCTTTACCTTGCTCTGCAGTTTTGTGTCCTGAGCCATGGCTGCCAAGCTGACTCGCCTCCACAGCCTCAGGGAGCGCCTTGGTGCCACCTTCTCCTCCCACCCCAATGAGCTCATTGCACTCTTCTCCAGGTGAGGATCTCAAACCATGTCTACCTGTATGTGAAACAAACTAATCTCTGTTATGCCACCAAAACATGTTGACATGGTATAAATTTCGTCCCTATCTTTAATTAGTTTTTAGCACATCAAAATCAGCATTAGAAGGTGATGCATGCATATCTTTGGTACATCATAGATTCATAGTCAGGACTAGAGGAATTTGGTGATCATGTTGAAATGTTACATGTTCTTAGTATAATCTGGTAGTCAGGGTAGAGGTAGTGCTGCTTACATAGTTTCAGTCATAGGAAAAATATGAGGTGTAGCACTCTTTTCTTTTTTCTGAAAAATACCACTCTTTGCAGGTATGTTCACCAGGGCAAGGGCATGCTTCAGCGCCACCAGCTGCTTGCTGAGTTTGACGAACTGTTCGAATCCGACAAGGAGAAGTATGCGCCCTTTGAAGACATCCTCCGAGCTGCTCAGGTAACATAACTTCGGCGACTTTCCTGCTCAAGTGCCTGCCAGTTGAATTTTTTTATATTCAAGGCGTTCTAATTCTCTCTTCCTTGATGTAAATGTAGGAAGCAATTGTGCTGCCCCCATGGGTTGCACTTGCCATCAGGCCCAGGCCTGGTGTCTGGGACTACATTCGGGTGAATGTTAGTGAGCTCGCCGTTGAAGAGCTCACTGTTTCTGAGTACTTGGCATTCAAGGAACAGCTTGTCGATGAGCAGTAAGTTGCAGGATGAAATCTTAGCAGTTGTAGGTGAATTATACATTCTACTTGTAGTGAATAACCTTGTGCCTTTTCCTTGACAACAGTGCCAGCAGCAAGTTTGTGCTTGAGCTTGATTTTGAGCCTTTCAATGCCTCCTTCCCGCGCCCTTCCATGTCCAAGTCCATCGGAAACGGGGTGCAGTTCCTTAACCGTCACCTGTCTTCCAAGTTGTTCCAGGACAAGGAGAGCCTCTACCCACTGCTCAACTTCCTGAAAGCCCATAACTACAAGGGCACGGTAAGCTTCCAATACGTGGAACCTACCAAACTTGAATGCTTGAATTAACCTGACATTCTACAAAGAACTGCATAATGATTTGATCCATGTTCTCTTAATAATAAAATGTCATTTTCAATTACAGACAATGATGTTGAACGACAGAATTCAGAGCCTTCGCGGTCTCCAGTCGGCCCTTAGGAAGGCAGAAGAGTATCTAGTTAGCATTCCTGAAGACACTCCCAGCTCTGAATTCAACCACAGGTTATTTCTATGCAACTTGCTCTTACGGTCATACCACATAGCTAAGGTTAAACTACTGCAAATGGAGTAGCTGCTTACGTTTTCAAGTGCAGGTTCCAAGAGCTTGGTTTGGAGAAGGGTTGGGGTGACACCGCAAAGCGTGTACACGACACCATCCATTTGCTTCTTGACCTTCTTGAGGCCCCTGATCCGGCCAGCTTGGAGAAGTTCCTTGGAACCATTCCAATGATGTTCAATGTTGTCATCCTGTCTCCCCATGGATACTTTGCTCAATCCAATGTGTTGGGATACCCTGATACCGGTGGCCAGGTAAAGCTGCTTGGAAGCAATTTTCTGTTAGCTAGTTTTTTCAGGCCTCCTAGTTCTGATCTGACAGGATATTGTTTGACAGGTTGTGTACATCTTGGATCAAGTCCGTGCTTTGGAGAATGAGATGCTTCTGAGGATTAAGCAGCAAGGCCTTGATATAACTCCCAAGATCCTCATTGTATGTTTGAGATAACAATGTTGGATGTTGCAATTTCTAAGACCTTGTTTGTCAGTGTGTTGTGACTAACTGGGTAAATGTGCCCAACCAATTTTATTTGATGCAGGTAACCAGGTTGTTGCCTGATGCTGTTGGAACCACATGTGGCCAGCGGCTGGAGAAGGTCATTGGAACTGAGCACACTGACATTCTCCGTGTTCCATTCAGAACCGAGAATGGGATCCTCCGTAAGTGGATCTCGCGTTTTGATGTCTGGCCATACCTGGAGACATACACCGAGGTAAACGCTTTATTCGAATAGCGTTCTACAGAGCTAAAACATAGTATCTGTATTCTGAGATCATGCATGTTTAATCACAGGATGTTGCAAACGAACTCATGAGAGAAATGCAGACCAAGCCTGATTTGATCATTGGCAACTACAGTGATGGTAACCTTGTGGCCACTCTGCTTGCCCATAAATTGGGAGTTACCCAGGTCGGTTTTGTTGTACTGTATACATCAGTCTTGTATTTTTGATTAGCTAAATTACTTATGATTTCTCTTGTACATGAATACAGTGCACCATTGCCCATGCCTTGGAGAAAACCAAGTACCCCAACTCAGACATCTACTTGGACAAATTCGACAGCCAGTATCACTTTTCATGCCAGTTCACAGCTGACCTGATTGCCATGAACCACACTGATTTCATCATCACCAGCACATTCCAGGAAATTGCCGGAAGGTAACATCTCTATATTTTCAGTAGAAACATTGTTGGCTGTGACAGTACCAGGACGTTTATCTGATGCTTCCCTCTTTTGTTTTTGCAGCAAAGATAGCGTGGGCCAATACGAGTCTCACATTGCTTTCACCCTCCCTGATCTGTACCGGGTTGTCCATGGGATTGACGTGTTTGATCCTAAGTTCAACATCGTCTCTCCTGGAGCAGACATGACTGTCTACTTCCCATACACTGAGACTGACAAGAGGCTCACCGCCTTCCACTCTGAAATTGAGGAGCTCCTGTACAGCGATGTTGAGAACGATGAACACAAGTGAGTACTCACCTCTATGTGATGTAATAACTAGCGCATTTCACCTGGTTTACAGTAGTGCCTTCAATTTTTTGAACAATTGCTTATGTTCTGCTGTATGGTGTACATGCTCTTCCATTCAAGTATAACCATTTTAAATCTGTTTTCTACAGATTTGTGTTGAAGGACAGGAACAAGCCAATCATCTTTTCAATGGCTCGTCTTGACCGTGTGAAGAACATGACTGGCTTGGTTGAGATGTACGGCAAGAATGCACATCTGAAGGATTTGGCGAACCTTGTGATTGTTGCTGGCGACCATGGCAAGGAGTCCAAGGATAGGGAGGAGCAGGCTGAGTTCAAGAGGATGTACAGTCTCATTGAGGAGTACAAGCTGAAGGGCCATATCCGTTGGATCTCTGCTCAGATGAACCGTGTTCGCAATGGTGAGCTGTACCGCTACATCTGTGACACCAAGGGAGCATTTGTGCAGGTATACCAACCATGTCACTCCATATTCTTCTGTGATCAACATTTGGAAAAAATAAACAGCCTTGGGTTTGTACTGGACTAAACTCTTGTTTCAATTGTTTCTAGCCTGCATTCTATGAAGCTTTTGGCCTTACTGTCATTGAGGCCATGACATGTGGTCTGCCGACAATTGCGACATGCCACGGTGGCCCTGCTGAAATCATTGTGAATGGGGTGTCTGGTCTGCACATTGATCCTTACCACAGTGACAAGGCCGCAGATATCTTGGTCAACTTCTTTCAGAAGTGCAGCGAGGATCCAAGCTACTGGGACAAAATGTCTGAAGGAGGCCTGAAGAGAATTTATGAGAAGTATGCATTATAATTTTTGTCATGCCAGATAGTTCTAGGTTCTGCCCCTGAACAAATACTTATCCTACAATTTTTGAATGATCAGGTACACCTGGAAGCTGTACTCAGAGAGGCTGATGACCCTGACCGGTGTGTATGGATTCTGGAAGTACGTGAGCAACCTAGAGAGGCGTGAGACTCGCCGTTACCTTGAGATGTTCTACGCCCTGAAGTACCGCAGCCTGGTAAGTTATCTGACCGTCAAAGAGAAACATAGGCAACATATATCAGTGTCCACTTCGGCACACTCACTTACGATTTATATGTTCTCTTGAATCCAGGCTGCTGCAGTTCCATTGGCGGTTGACGGCGAGAACTCCGACAACTAGCCCGGTGCAATGGGGCATGAAGAGGCGCATTCAGCGGGAGGGTGAAGTGTCGGCTGCGTTATGATTTGTCTGCCGTAGTTTTCATTTGGTCTGGTCGTGGAGTGTGTTAATTTGTTGTCTCGGCACATTTGTGAGGTCCTGGGCAGTGCTCGCTGGTTCATGCCAGCCGCATTTGTTGCCTGGAATAAACGCCTGCCCATGGTGTTCCATCTTTCATCAGAGTTCAATGCAATGTTTCGTTGTCTGTCTCATTTCTCTGTCTTTCAAAATTATTTGATCACCCCTTTTGTCATGAATGAACCTGGTGTGTGTGGTTTTGGTCAAAGCTTCACTGATGTGTGCTGCACTGTGGAGTTTTTCTGAAGAATAGTGCCGGTCTTGGCAAGGACAAAACCAAATGCCAACAACCTATGCACTGTAACATTGGTTATGTGATCAAAGTTCTCCGGAAACTAAATACTACTTTGTAGTGTCAAAAACGCTTTTATATTATGGGATGGAGGGAGTACCTTAATGCAATTTGGGATAGTAAGTGCTCCAGAGTAGGGTTTCTCTTAAGCATAAAGCAGCTCTTGGCATGGACACAACCAAGTGACACACAGCCTTTGGAATTGTGGTCGATGTCAGATGGAGAACTCAAAGAAAACTTCATGGTGCTCGTTGAGTACCGAGTCTCAATGGAGCAAAACTCAAGATCTGGCTTGTATTGGTTATAAAATGGCAATGGCCTTTTTTTCAAGGCATTGTTTTTGGGTGAACTCAGACTTTTCTCAGGGTGAAAACCCAAGATCTTCAATCGAGCAAACGACAACGCTTGTGCATTGTTTTCTTTTTGAAGACGTTGCTTTTGGAGAACCCTTTTTGTATTTCGAGTGTTGTCTTCGATGATGGTTAGAGGGTTGCTAATGCTAGTGATTCATCAACGTGGCGCAAATTTTCTTTTCTGTCTTTTTAATTTTTTTGGTTGTGTATCTTTATGCCTTTGGACATCTTGTTCGTACAGAATTCGGGTGTAATTAGTATCTTTGTGATATTAATATATATTTTCTTTGTCAAAAGGAGGTGAGGGCAACATTTTAAGTTAATAAAAACGTCCTTCATAAAAAAGGAGGTGAGGGCATAATTTTTTTTTTTGGCGATTGGCGTTGATCACAGTCAATTCAATTTCCGTTGGTAATCCACTCATAGCCTGCAAAATCTGATGGCGATGGAGATAGGAGGATCGGGATGTAAAGAGATGCCGCTGAAGAGAAAGTTAGTCAGTTACCTAGGGTTTCCGTGTCCAGCGGATAAATCGCACACTCGCCTCCGGCGCCTCCGGGCCGTGCCGCCGCCGGCGCGCACACCGATTGGGTTCCTTGCCTGCACCTCTGCTACCGGTGGCGTCTCCCGTCCTCATCGCCGCTAGAGGTAGCCAGATTGGCAAGACAGAACGGGCCGGCCCACCAACTGAAGCACCCGCTAAAGCTCCAGGTTTTGGGAAAATTCTGAAAGCTTTCGGTGTTTATTTCTTTTTTCGGTTTTTTGGACGGTTGGAGTATCAGCAAAGTTAGCTATGGACAAGAGGTGCGTGGAAGCTTACTATCCATATGCCACAGCCATGAATTGGTTTGGTTGCGAGATCTTATGGGTTTCCCCTCTAGTCTATCCTAACTTGTTTGGGACTAAAGTCTTTGTTGTTATTTTTTGTACGGTTCTTATTCGGGTTTTTATTTTCTGTTTCTTTTTTCCATTTTATTTTTATGGTTCCTTTTTCTTTCTTTTTTATTATTCTTGTTTTTAAATGCATGAACGTTTTTTAATTCATGGGCTTCTCCAAATCCACGAACTTTCTTATAAATCCATGGGCATTTTTCAAATTTGTGATCTTTTTTAAATTATTCATGAACCTTTTCCAAAATTAATGATTTTCTTTAAAATTCGTGAACTATTTTTTGCTAAACAATGATCATTTTTAAAAATCCATGAACTTGGAAAAATATCCATGAACCTTATTTAAATTTGTGAACTTTTTTCATGTTCGTGCCTTTGTTTCATAATCGTCGAACTTTGTCCAAATTTTGGACTTCTTTAAAAAAAAGTTGAACTTTTTTTTCAAAGTTGTGAACCTTTTACCAAATTCATGATTTGTTTTTTTTTTCAAATTTCATGATTTTCGTTTCAAATTAAAAAAACATTTTTATTTTTTCTCCTTTTTCATGAATTTTTTTAAGTCAATGGTTGAATGGTCAACAGTTGACTATCAACCGGGAAGAGTGAGGAGGGAGCAAAAACGAGGCATGCAAGTAGCGAGCGAGCGGGGGTAGGAAACTATTTATTGGGCCGACCCGAATAAGCGGCTACGTGAGCGCCGTTTGCCTTACTTGACACTACACGCGCTGAGGCGGAGGACACATTCTGATGACCACTCTGTATGGAGCGTGTGCTCAGCGGCCGAGGGTGAACGTCCAAATTCCCAGGCGGCCCGCTTATCTTAAGCTGCTTTGTTTACCGTAAAGGGATTTTTTTGCAAGGAGAAAATGGAGGGCGGCGCTAGGCGCCAACCGGCTGTACGAGGGAAAGATCACCCCCATATCTGCCCTTGATTGCGGTCGTGTAAGCCGTTTGCTCAACGACGTCCATCGTCTCTCTCGCCATACGTATTTCCCACTGCGTCTTCCTCCTACACGCTTTCCTCGTTGGCTCGAGCAGCGTCCGTTGCGGAACACGTCAGCTCCACTCGTTGCCGCACAGATGACTACCGCGGAAGCATTGCCGCCATTGTCCGAACATAACCGTGGCAACACACACACACAACACTGCTAGCCATGCCATAGAAGCGTTGTCGCATCACCTGGTCGGCTACGCTTGGCACACTGTAGTAGCACTAGCCACCTAAACTCACAACACTAGTTGCCCGTGGTCGCAAAAGCCATGGCCGCTGGTTAGAGCATCACCTCAGCCGCTCCCCAGCACAACAAATTCTTGCTCACTCACGGCACTGCTTGGCAAAGCTCGCAACAACCACACCATAGGTTCGCAGCAAAGCCCCACTATTCTCTCGGCCGCCATTCTAGCATCGATGGTGACCTCGTGGCAAACTCCAGCTCGCTTGCAGCACACCCGAACAAGCTCACAACAACGCATGGGATGGTGTCCTCGCATCACCAGGTGTTGTCCCGTTGGAGAACTCTAGCGGTGAGTTTACAACATCGGCCTTGCAGTAGCGATGGGTGACGACTTACAACTCCGGAGACGACTCGCATCACTGGCGCCCCAACGGCTTGCAGCAGCGGTGTGTGGCGTCTTGCGGTAGCGATGCATGGCGGCTTGCGGGATCCAAACTGGGCCTACAAGCCAACACTAGTCTTTTCTGCACACTTTATCCTCACTCGTGTGCATCCCAGAAAAAGTTTCTACTTGGTCATCATCCTTAAATTGCTTCAAGCCAAGCACACTTAACATCGGAGTTCTTTGCGAATGAGCTCCCGAAAAAAGTCAATCATTCCTATTAAGTCAAGATCTCACTTACAACCCCACTCATTGAGGAGTACAAACTGAAGGGCCATATCCGTTGGATCTCCGCTCAGATGAACCGTGTTCGCAATGATGAGCTGTACCGCTGCATCTGTGATACCAAGGGTGTGTAATTTGATGTCTCCAGCACATTAGCGAGGTCTTGGGCAGTGCTTGCGGGTTCCTGCTAACCGCATTTGTTTCCTTGAATAAACGCCTGTCGATGGTGTTCATCTTTCATCAAAGTTCAATGCATTGTTTCGTTGTCCTTTTCACTCCCCTGTCCATCTTCGAAGTTGGATGATCACTCCTTTAATCATGAATGAACCTGGTGAGTGTGTGCGTATGCATGGTAACATGGTTATTTGATCAAAGCTTCATAGAAAACTGACACTTCTAAATGCAGTTTGGCACAACAAGTACTGGACTGTGGAGTTTCTCTGAAGAATAGTGCAACACTTGGTAAGGACAAAACCAAATGCGATCAACATCTTAGATGCAATTCGGTATAAGAAGGCAAGAACTCAAAGAAAGCTTCATGTACAGAAGCGGCATGACATTTTGGGGATCGGCATAGCACACAAGTCGATTCGAAGTTTCGTTGGTAAGGCATCAAACTAAAGCAGATGGCAACGGAGGTGGTCGAACCGGGAGGTAAAGAGATCAAATAAATTAGTTACCTAGGTTCTTGGGGCCAGCGAATAGATCGTCCACTGGCATCCTTCGCATCTGGGTCATGCCGCGGTCTTCATCGCTGGCAAGCACACCACTGGGATCCCCTGCCTCTCGCCGGTGGCGGAGTCTCCCGTCCTCATTGTTTTGTGTGCCTTCGTCGTCGCTAGAGGTGGCCTGGTTGATGAGACAGATGGCATCGAGCACGGCAACAACCCTCAGAGACAGGCCCAAGCTTTTCTGACGGCCACTTTTGTTGTGTGTGTGTTGGAGGGCCTGCTTATCTTATGCTGCTTTCTCACCGAAGCTTATCTCACGGTGCTAAGGTCAACTCTAGCCGATCCCCTAAAAAATAGAGAAAGATCCGGCCAAGTAAATCTTAGTAGAGTATATTTACTTTACTAATTTTTGATCGGTTCTATCCGATCCCCTAAATTTAGCGGAGTAAAGCTTACAGTTAGCTTATGCATTTCGTCGAACATTTGGCATGCGCGCTCCGGCGGCGACAGGACGGACAAGGCGAAACCATGGCATGTGAAGCTGCGGTTGGTTGTGCCCAAGGAGGGACTGTTGGTGTCACGGCCGACAGGCACGAAGCACGATAGGAGTTCGTCGTGCGGCGTGGTTGCGCCTGAATACCTGACACATCGTTCTTGCCGTCGAGCTTGAGACACGACCGCTAACCGGGCATACGAGGATTGCTGTGGTCCGGGGCTTTGAAATCCATTCGGGAGGAGAGCGGCGGCAAGCCCGGAGGCGGGGTCATCCCTGGTCGTCCCCGGCCCAAGCGCGCCGCGCAAGGCGCAGTCAGGGCGGTCCGTTTGATGTCGTCTTGTAGATAGCCCAGGTTAAATTTCCCCTGCCAAAAAGACGGGACACCGTTTCTGCTCCGGTGCT